TGTAAAAATGTTATTTTTTTATTATTTCTAAATTGATACACAAATAAATTGATTATCTCCATAACAAATATTAGATGCGAGGATCTACATTCTAAGATATAAATGACATTACATTTCTTAAGCCCTAAAGATAAGAGTCATGAATTTACATTGGAGGTAGATATATGTTCTATAATTTGTTAGATCTTTATTATTTATTTGTTTTTCTAATGCAATTTAATAGGTTAAAAATCGGGTTACTAGCACAAAACCTCCCTAAGTTTGGCAATCATTTTTTGATTGTTTTTTTTTTTTGTTTTTTTTTTTTTTTTTTTTTTTTTTTTTTTTTTTTTTTTTTTTTTTTTTTTTTTTTTTTTTTTTTTTTGCTATTCTTCCTACCGTAAACAAATTATTCTACAAATAAAAAAAAAATGAAGCATTAATATATAAAATTAGCTAGGGTTGGACATGGTCCGAATCTGGTTCCATTCGATTCCATGTTCTGTATTATAATTAATTTTTTTTAATATTAACAAAACTACATTAATTCAACTAATAATATGTTCAATCTCAGTTCTTACAAAATAACGTAGTCCAATCTTATGTGTCTTTTACGTTTCTCTTTGTTGAGTTATTCATAAATTTGATTGTTAAAATCATAGGAATAGGAAGATAGCGAGCCCATAATAATTAAGAGAGACGTTGTCGAGTTTCAATTTGATTTATCCAGAGCAGTAGAAACGGCATTAAGATAGAGTAACAAATTTGGATAAAACTTTGATCAATTTGATTAAATTGACTTTGAACTGAAAATTAGAAATAGGAAAATCATATTTTTGGGTTTGACCTAAATTAACTAGTTAGCAAATTTATTTATAAAAAAATAAAATAATTTGACTAATTTAAAATAAATTAATTTTAAAAAAATCAGGGAGATTCGATTCTTGATCTAGAATCGAGAACCTTCTCGATTCAGATATCCATTCCAATATTAAATTTAAGAAGAACCACTCGATTCGATTCGAGAGTTTTGTCCAACCCTAAATCAACAAACATCGAGCTTAATCAAACAAATGAAGCGACCACAACGTAACAATCTTATGTTTCAAGTTCTTGAATTTGAAATGGAGTGCGTAAAACCGTAATTATTTCTAAAATGAAGTGTGTTTATTGTTTCAAGTCCACTGTTCTTTATCACATGATGCATTTCTGGTTTTAGTTGTAACTTCCATGCCTTCTCTCATCCATTGTGACTCTTCACAATAAACCACTACCAAAAATCATAAAGCTCGTTTTCCCAAAATTTTGCATCAAAATTGGACCTGGTGATCCTTTTTTCCCCCTAAAATTGAAAGTGTAATAAACATCCCTAACTTTCAAACATTTTTGCATAAAAAGTCCGTACCTTTCAATGGGTTTTATGCAAAATACCCCTACCTTTGAATGTCGCTGTGAAAATCATCCCAACCCATGTTTGTTTTCATATAATAGATCCTAATCATCTCCTATAAGCATCATGTTTCAATCACAGCAACTCAGACACTGATTAAACAAAAATTTAAATACAGCAACTCAAACACAACAAATATAATTATTCAATGAATTCTCAACCAAAAAAAGCTTGGCAATTATAGCAATTCATAACCAACTTTGCATATAAAATAGGCAAAATCAATTGTTCAACAACAAAAATGGGTTCTGTTAGTGGATAATTCATACACAGCATTTTAGCTTTTATTTTGTTCAACATTCAGTACTTCAACAAAATAAATTTATAATTTAGCCCAACCTTTGATAAGAGCAATTTGTGTATTTATTTATACCACATTATTAAACTTTTAAGTCGTCAAATTGCTAATTTCTATTTAACTTAGGTGAATTTTCTTTTGTTTTTAGTTAAGGACCTGTTTGAAGTAATTGAAGAGGATGTTGATTGCACAATTGAGGAACTCAAGGATTACATTGTATTAACTTAAAATTTCGATGACTTGGAGAAAATAAGTTATTAATTGGGCCTCAATTTGGAATTAAATAAATTGGGCTTTTGGAGAAAAATAGGGCTGCCGGCTGAAGTGTGTATATATATATATAGATATATTCATACACGTGGAGGGGGAGAAAAAATAACACACGCCAATTAGGAGAAAGCAAATTAAAAAAAAAAAAAAAAGGGCTGCTGGAATTGAATAGATACACATACAATTGAGTGGCTTTGGAAGATTTATATATATATACAACACCCACAATTGGATGGCAAAAGGAGGGCTGAATTTGTAAGGTATATACACAAAACACAAAGTTTTGTGGGCTGTTGAAACAAAAAGGCAAAGGAGTCAACATTGGTAGCCTACGTGAGTGAAGGAAATATATTATATATACACACACTTGCAGCTACTGGACGGAGATATATAATTACAAGAGTGTAGCTGGTAGATACACTCACACACGCATCAATAAACGATAATTGGGCAGGAGGAATTCAAATAAATTGAACACGGCAGTTGGGAACATGTAGACCTACGTGCACTTGGCCAGAATTCATAGAAAAAGTCTGCCTTGGAGATATAGAAATTAACACGTGCAGAAGTCAAGAACAATTGCGAGAAAATTAATCACGTTTCGTCGATTCGCGGTGATGTCTTTCCTCTTTTATGTGTTTAATTTCAACATTATGATAGACTGGTTTCTTTGATGTATTGGATGAAGATGAAACCCATTATTATTTATTTTTAATTCAAGACACGTGGTTTAGTTTAATTCTTGTAATTCTTGATTAATTTTGCATGCTTAATTATATTATTTGATTGTCTGATTACCAATTAAATATATAGTTGCTTGTTGTAGTGTTGGGAGGTTCACAATAAGTTTAGAACATTGCATGATTAACATACGTATAATAAATTTTAGGAATAAGATTTATTACGTGTGCAATCTTTGAGATAATTGTGAAATTGAATGCGTTTTATTCATATGAATTCGGACTAGGAATATGATCGGGTCGCGAATAGGATAGTTTTAATTTGTCTTGGAAAGGAAAATTAATTACAATAGAATTATCGATTGTCAAGAATGTAAGAGCGAAACTAGCTACGTAGTTGAGAATTGGAATAGATAATAATAGGTGGATTTGTAATCCAATACACTCTTCCCATATACATTTTAAATTCGCATTTTATACGTTTTCGTAGATTAAATTAGAATAATTAAAAATCACAAAAATCACTTTTAATTTGTTCGATTTGAATCTAATTAAAGATTAATACACTCAATTAAATTTTATTCCTCGTGGGACGATACTCTAACTCACTAAATCTATTACTTGTACAATGAACCCGTACGCTTGCGGGATTTTGACGAACAAGTTTTTGGTGCCATTGCCGGGGAGTTTATTTAATTTAGTGTATTATTTCTTAATTTTAGTTATTAGATATTTTAGATTCGTTTTTATTTTTCTTATTTAATTTTTATTATTTTTATTTTCATTTTATTTTTAGTTGTTTTTAGGATACCATTACACTTTTTAGGCGACTTTAGTTTATGCAAAATCATGACGAGCCAGATCTCTTTCCAATAGACCACAAAATCGAAAGGACATTTAGAAATCGTAGAAAAGGTCAACTTCGAGCAAGGAGAATGGCTGACAACCAAAATCAACCACAGAATCAAGTTCAGCTTCACGAGCCAATACCACAGCCAAATCAACCGAGAGCTATCCAGAACGAAGCTCCTGTCTTAGTTGGAGATTACGTCAATCCAATTCCCGCACCAATGCAACCTGTTGTGGTATACCCTCCCTTTGGACAACCTAATTTCCACCTTCGACCAGATGTCATCAATTTGTTTCAAAATCACCAAGACATCAGGTTCTTTGGAAAAGACACGAAAATCCTCATGAATATATTTTTGTTTTTCTCATGTTATGTGAAATGATCAGTCACGAAGGGATATCGACAGATACATTTCGAATGAGATTATTCCCTCATACCTTGAAAGACGCTGCTAGAGAATGGTTCCTCTGTTTACCACCAGGGAGCATTCAATCTTGGAACGATATGGTTCAAAAATTCACGATAAAATTCTTCCCACCTTCTCGAGTTCACCAAATTAGGAATGACATTCACACCTTCAAGCAGAAAGATTTAGAGAGCTATCCTGAGGCATGGGAGAGGTTCAAGAATTTTTTCAGAAAATGCCACAGCCTTGACATTCCCAGGTAGGCTCAGCAATATCTTTTCTACTACGGTCTAAAACAAGAGTTCAGAAATATGATAGATGCTTCAGCAGGAGGATCAGTGATGAAATTTGATGTGGATGAGGCATATGACATGTATGAAAAAATAGCTGAAAACTAATCGATGTGGCCAACTGATAGGGAAGCTCCAAGGAAAACATCAGGGTTACACAACATAGATGTAGTGACAGCACTGACCGCGTAAATGGAGGTTCTTGCAATGAAAATGGACAATCTATCTAAGTCAGTCAACATGGTACACCAATCGCCACCTATTTGCGAAGGCTGTGGAGCGGATCATGCTAGTACACGCTGCCCTTTGACGTCTACATATATTAATCAATCGGAAAAAGTAAGCTACACACAGAACTTTCAGAGACAACAAAATAATCCTTTCTCCAACACATATAATCGGGGTTGGAAGAACTATCCAAATTTTTCATGGTCCAATAGTCAGGGACAAGAACAGGGAAGAATCAATCAGAATAAACCACCAGGGTTCCAACATCAACAACAACAAGGGAGAAGGCCATCATTAGAAGATTTACTGGCTCAATACATTACTAAAACTGAGACCAACTTTCAAAACCAACAAACCTCGATCAATAATTTGGAACAACAGGTTGGACAAATTGCAGCCGCACTATCAGGTAGAGCTCAAGGGACATTGCCCAGCAATACTAAAACAAATCCTAAGGAGCAGGTCAAAGCAATCACTACACGTAATGGAGTCTAGTTACCAGAAATACATGTAAAGCGGCCAGCAACTGTCATAGAAAGGGCACCTACCATGGGCAAGGAGCAAGTGGATGAATTAGACAAAGCCACTGAGGAAAATCAAGTTAATTCATCAGATAGTCCACAGGTGAAAGCAACTGCTCCTGTCAAAGCATATGTTCCTCCAATCCCATTTCCACAGAGATTGCAAAAACATAAGCTCGACAAGCAATTCCAGAAAATTTTGGATGTGTTCAAGAAGCTGCACATTAACATACCATTTGTTGAAACTTTAGCTCAAATGCCCAGCTACGCCAAGTTCATGAAAGATATTCTATCAAATAAGAGAAAACTAGAAGATAATGAAACAGTCATGCTTACTGAGGAATGTAACACAATTCTCCAACACAAATTACCACCGAAACTAAAAGACCCAGGGAGTTTTACTATTTCTTGTCACATTGGTAATTTATATATAGATAACGCATGGGTGATCTAGGAGCTAGCATTAATTTAATACCCTTATCTCTTTTTCGGAAACTAGGTTTGAGGGAAGCAAAATCGACTACAGTTTCACTGCAATTGGCTGACAGGTCGATCAAACACCCTCGTGGTATTTGTGAAGATATTTTGGTGAAAGTTGACAAGTTTATCTTCCCAACGGACTTCATTATTTTGGATATAGAAAAAGATAGAGACGTCCGCCTCATATTGGATTGTCCATTTTTGGCTACGGGAAGAGCTCTGATAGATGTGCAAAAGTCAGTTGATATTGAGGATAAATGAAGAAGAACTGACAATCAACGTGTTTAGAGCTTTCAGATTTCAGAGTGAATCGGATTCTTGCATGCATATTGATGTAATAAAAGAAGCAGTGTTAGAGACATTCAAACTAGATCACCCTCAGGATCCGCTTGAGGATTGTTTAGTGCATTCGCAAGATTTACCATCAGAAAATGAGGAAGTGGAAGAATGTACATAGCAGCCATACCACCATTCTTCAAACAACCACGACTAGAGCTCGGTGAAAGACCATCAACACATTTACCATCTATACAGCAAGCTCCAACTCTTAAACTCAAACAGTTGCCCACCTATCTTCGCTATGCATACTTGGGGGAAAAGAATTCACTTCCAGTAATTATCTCGAACAATCTTACAGAATCAGAGGAGGATCAGTTGCTGAGGGTGCTTCGAGAGCATAAGATAGCAATAGGATGGACAATATCGGATATATAATGGATCAGCCCTTCACTTTCCAAGCATAAGATACTGATGGAAGACGATTACAAAGTTTCAATTGAGCATCAACATCCAAATGAAAACAATGAGCTCATCCCGACACGCACAGTCACGGGTTGAAGAGTTTGCATTGATTATCGCAAACTCAACAACGCCACGAGGAAAGATCACTTTTCCCTTCTTTTCATTGATCAAATGCTGAAGAGACTTGCTGATTATACATACTATTGCTTCCTGGATGGTTATTCGGGGTACAACCAAATTCCTATAGCACCAGATGACCAAGAGAAGACAACCTTTAAATGCCCTTATGGCACTTTTGCTTATAGGAGGATACCCTTCAGTCTTTGCAACGCTCCTGCCACCTTTCAATGTTATATGATATCTATTTTCTCGGATATGGTCAGAAATATCATTGAGGTGTTTATGGATGATTTCTTAGTATTTGGAAAATCATTTAAGGCTTGCCTTGAACATTTGGGAAAAGTGTTGCAGCGGTGTGAAGACACAAACCTTGTATTAAATTGAGAAAAATATCATTTCATGGTTCAGGAAGAAATTGTGTTAGGGCATCTAATTTCAGCACGAGGTATTAAGGTTGATAGAGCTAAGATACAAGTCATCGAAAAACTACCACCGCCAGTAACAGTGAAGGGAGTCAGAAGTTTCTTGGGTCATGCTGGGTTCAACCGTCGCTTCATCAAAGACTTTTCCAAAATCTCGAAGCCATTATGCAATCTATTAGAAAAAGGGGCTCCATTTCACTTTTCTGAGGAGTGCCTGACTGCTTTTAACACTTTAAAGGAAAAATTGGTTTCCGCTCCAGTGTTGGCTCCTCCAGACTGGGATTATCCGTTTGAGCTTATGTGTGATGCCAGTGAACATGCAGTGGGAGCAGTGTTGGGTTAACGCAAGAAGAAGATTTCTCATGTTATCCACTATGCCAGTAAGACTTTAGACGAGGCTCAAATGAATTATGCTACTACAGAGAAAAAGCTTTTAGCAGTGGTGTTCACTGTTGACAAATTCAGGTCATATTTGATTGGGTCAAAAGTGATTGTCTATTCAGATCATTCAGCATTGAAATATCTAATGAGCAAGAAGGACGCAAAATTGAGGCTTATTCGATGGATACTCCTGTTGCAAGAGTTTGATTTGGAGATCAGAGATAAAAAAAAAATGAGTGAGAATGTTGTGGCAGATTACCTTTCTAGCCTTGAATCACATAAGTCACACCCTACGGAGGAGATCAACAAAGTTTTCCCAGATGAGATGCTTTTTTAGATTATCACTACACCATGGTACATCGATTATGTCAATTATTTAGCCCGCTCCATCATCCCACCAAACTACTTGAGTCACCAAAAGAAGAAATTCTTTAGTGACCTAAAACACTACTTTTGGGATTATCCAATTCTTTACAGAAAGGGTCCAGATCAGATCATACATCATTGTGTACCAGAAATAGAACAACATCAAGTATTAGGATCATGTCACTTTGCACCGTATGGGGGTCACTTTGCAGCAATCAAGACAGTAACAAAGGTACTACAATCGGGTTTTTATTGGTCCACATTGTTCAAAGATGCCCATTATATGGTGAAACATTGTGATAAGTGCCAGAGGACTGAAAACATCTCAAGGAGGAATGAGATGCCTTTGAACAGTATTTTGGAGGTTGAAATATTCGACGTTTAAGGCATTGACTTCATGGGACCATTTTCTCCATTCTATGGTCAACAATATATACTGGTGGCAGTGGACTACGTGTTTAAGTGGGTTGAAGCTGTGACTTTGCCAACTAATGACGGCCGAGTAGTGACTCAATTTCTGAAAAAAAAAACATTTTCACGAGGTATGGTACCCCAAGGGCAATTATTAGTGATGGTGGAAAGCATTTTTGTAACCGCTTATTTGCTTCGTTGTTCGCCAAATATGGATTGAAACATCGTGTCTCAACCCCATACCATCCTCAGACTAGCGGGCAGGTGGAAATCTCTAACAAGGAGTTAAAGAAAATTCTTGAAGTTACAGTCAATGCATCACGTAAAGATTGGGCTAAGAAACTAGACGATGCACTTTGGGCGTGTAGAACAACATTTAAGACTCCAATTGGCATGTATCTATATCGACTGGTATTTGAAAAGGTTTGTCATCTGCCGATTGAGTTAGAGCATAAAGCATACTGGGCGACACACTTGCTCAATTTCAATATGAGGGCAGCAGGAGAAAAGAGGGTTCTACAACTTCATGAGCTAGATGAGTTTCGTTTGGAGTCGTATGAGAATGCAAAGATTTACAAAGAAAAGATCAAGAGATGACACGACAGGCATATAAGAGAGAAGGAGTTTGAGGTTGGTCAGCAAGTATTGATATTCAATTCACGCCTCAAGCTCTTTCCAGGAAAACTAAAGTCTAGGTGGTCGGGTCCATTTACAGTACTAGCTGTGTTTCCACATGGTGCGATGGAAGTGGTGTCTCAAGATCAACAAAGGAGGTTCAAAGTAAATGGACAACAGTTGAAAGCTTATTGGAGAGGTGACTACTCCAGTGAAAAAACAACCGTACCACTTGATAATGTAGAGTAACCAGGACAACAAAGTCTAGCTAAAGACTATAAATTAAGCACTTATTGGGAAGCAACCCAATTTCTAAGCCTTTTATTTATTTTATTTTCTGCATCGCATTGCATATAGATTTGTTTTAATTATTAGTTGCATTAGATTTAGGCACGTTTAAATTTATAGAGTATCATCATCCGATCATGTTTTCATTGAGGCTCTTAAATATAATGTTGGTTATTTCGAGTGTTTGGGCTAAGTAACGTATGTTTTGGATTATTTGATCTCTACTATTTGATTTGATTATCATATGCAGGAACATATCGTCATGGAACACTTAAAACAACATCGACCAAGGGGAAAGCATAATAAGAAAAACTGTCTAGCCGTCACCTATAATATCTTCCACATTCAATAGAAAAATTCAGGAGTATCTTTGTCATTTTCTTCTCCATCCCCTTACATTCTTAATTATATTTTAAGACATTGAGGACAATGTTGAGCTTAAGTTTGGGGGTGGGAAACACTTTGTGTTTTTGGTTTTCGTATGTTTTCGTGCGTTGTTTACATATGTTTAATAAAAAAATTAAAAAAAATTAAGAAAACATTTAAAAATAAAAAAAATCATTAAATTTTTATTTATTTTTTATTGTGTGCTTGTGTGGGTTAGACGGTTTGACAGATAATGATGATTAAATTTGAAATTTGGTGTTGATTTATGAACTATGGATAGGAAGCATGCTAGATTGATTGAAACTTGAACCTACAAAACTTGATATTATACATGAACTAGAACTGAGTTTGACATTATGATGAAGTGAGTTGATTCATGCACTTGATAGATTGAATTAGTTGGACATAGATGCTTTACCCAAACGATACTAATTAATTATTCTTAGACCAAATTTAACACAATTTGGGGAGATCTTACTGTTGTAGGAAAATACGGATGTGAATATAGATTTCTTGTGTGAAAAAGTTTGTGTGGATTGTCTGAGATTAATAGGATAAAATTGGGCATAAGTCTTAAATTGGGGGTCGATTTACTTGAATGGGTGTGTGATAAGGGGCATTGCACTAATTAAGGCATATATTTATAAATTTAAAATTTCTCTTTGGAGCCTTTATGATTCGAGCAATTAAGTCTGCAAAGGTATCTTAAAACCCGGTGCCCTAAAATTATCTGATTTGGGAGTCATCGGCCCAAAACTCGTTACAATGGTCATTCAAAAGGCAATCAGAGATGAAATCGTCCTAAAAAAAATTGTTCTCTTCGAAACCTTTTTGACTCGGGTCATCAAGCCTGTAATGGCATTTGAAAACTTGGTGCCCTAAAGTTATCTGACTTGGGAGTCATCGGCCTAAAGCCTGCTACATGGTCATCTAGAAAGCTTAAGGGAGAGTGCAAAAAAAAAAAAAAGAAGAATAAAAAAAGCACTAAATGCCTTGTAAGTCCCAACACTTGTTCGAGGGAACTTGACTTTCGATAAAGGATAATTAGCCTAATTGAGTCTTGACGATCGAAGCAATCAAATAATTGGAGAATCCTTATTCATTGATGTGTTGACTTGCAACTAGTGACATCAACCTAAATTAGATAGGGTGAGGATAGTAATGAAAAATTCAATCTTAAATCACACGCTGGAAAAAAGAGTGAAAAAGAATAAGTTTGGGGATGTGTGAATCTTACGAGAGATAAAATGATATATTTGATCCTAGAGGGTTGGAAATTGGAACAACTTGTGAATTCATTAATGTCTACTTAGTTCTTCACACACAAACATCGGGTTTGCATTGCAAAAGTGAATATTAGTTTGGTATTGTCAATTTGAAGCAGTTTGTAAATTTAATGTCGTGATTTCAAATCCTGAAATAAAAAGCTAAATGGTCCAACCAAATATTTTTTGCTTGCTTGTGTGTTTGTTTTTATTTAAGTTATAGTTTTGTTCGAGGACGAATAAAAGTTTAAGTTTGGGGGTATTT